CAATTTCGGAGGGACTAAAGCTATTATAGGACTCTGTTATATTCAGACATGGCATTGAATTAAACACTGATGGAATCTCCTCCTTAAATTTAGCTACAGCACTGTCAGATAGACATCTGCTGTAGGAAGTTTTGCCTAATGGCTTATACATTCCTCTTTTTTTTTTAATTTAAAATTTAGAATAGAATTTAAAATCCTCCTCCTCACCTATAAAGCTCTTCATGGTCAGGCCCCTTCATATCTTAAAGAGCTCATAGTACTCTATTACCCCTCTAGAACACTACATTCTCTGAATGCTGGGCTACTTGTGGTTCCTATAGTCTCAAAAAGTAGAACAGGAGCCAGAGCCTTTAGTTACCAAGCTCCTCTCCTGTGGAACCAGCTTCCAGTTGTGATTCAGGAGGCAGACACCCTCACCACATTCAAGAGTAGGCTTAAGACAGTCCTCTTTGATAAAGCTTATAGTTAGGGCTGGATCAGGTGAGTCCTGCTATAGGCCTAGACTATCGGGGGATTTCCCATGGTGCATTGAGCTCCTCTCTTCCTCTCTCTTTCTGCACTCATTCATGTCCCATTGTACAGTAAATGCATGTTACTAACTTCACTTCTTCCCCGTAGTTCTTGTGCTTTCTCGTCTCGCAGGTTCTTATCAATCCTGGTGGAGCCTCCTGTCATGGTCCTGCTAGATTGCCATTGCCAATACTGTTGTTGCTGTACACCTCTCTCTCTCTCTCTCTCTCTCTCTCTCTCTCTCTCTCTCTCTCTCTCTCTCTCTCTCTCTCTCTCTCACCCCAACTGGTCAAGACAGACGACCACCCACCTAGAGCCGAAGGATCTGTCCTAGGTTTCTGCCCTCTAACAGGCAGTTTTCCTTGCCCTTGTCGCCAAGTGCTTGCTCATGGTGGCACTGTTGGGTCTCTGTAAATAATGTTATAAAGAGTTCGGTCTAGACCTGCTCTATTTGAAAAGTGTCCTGCGATAACTTCTGTTATGAATTGGCGCTATACAAATAAAATTGAATTGAATTGAATTACAATCTAATAGTATGAAATCAAAAGTTATTAAATAATGGTCAGATAGGAAAGGATTATGTGGGAACACTATTAAATGTTCAATATCAATGCCATATGATAGAACAAGGTTAAGAGTGTGATTAAAACAATGAGTTGGTTTATTTACACTCTGACAGAAGCCAATTGAGTCTATTAATAAGATAAATGCGTTACTAAGGCTGTCATTGTTAATATCCACATGAATATTAAAATCACCTACAATAATTACTTTATCTGATTTAAGGACTAAACTTGATAAAAACTCTGAGAATTCAGATATAAAATCCGAGTATGTTCCAGGAGCGCGGTACACTATAACAAATAGAACTGGCTGCAGTGTTTTCCAGGATGGATGAGAAAGACTAAGAACAAGGCTTTCAAATTAATTATAATTTAGTTTAGGTTTAGGGTCCATTAAAACGCTCGAATCATATATGGCTGCCACTCCACCTCCTCGGCCAGTGCCTCGAGGAATGTGAGTATTAATATGACTGGGGGGGATTCATTTAGGCTAACATACTCCTCGTGGGACAACCAGGTCTCAGTAAGACAAAGTAAATCAATATCATAATCTGATATTAATTCATTCACTAAAACAGCTTTAGAGGGCAGAGACCTGATATTTAACAGTCAACATTTCATTCTCTTATTTTGTGCTACTGAGGAGTTGGTTTTAATTTTTATTAGGTTTTTATGTTTAACTCCTCTTGTTTTTATTTCTTTAAATAATTTAGGTGGTCGGGGGACAGTCACAGTCTCTATGGGGTTTTGGGTGGGTGACTGTACTAATGGAAGTGCAGAGAAGTGTGTAAGAGCAGCTCTGCTTCCTGGTCCCAACTCTGGACTGTCAGGTTTTAGAAATAAACTTCTCCATATTCCTAGATAAGAGAGCCGCTCCATCCAAAGTGGGATGGATGCCGTCTCTCCTAAATAGACCACGTTTTCCCCAAAAAGGCTTCCAATTATCTATGAAGCCCACATCGTTTGCTGGACACCACCTCGACAGCCAGCGGTGGAAGTCCGACATGCGGCTATACATGTCATCACTGGTCACATTGGGCAGGGGTCCAGAGAAAACTACGGAGTCCGACATTGTTTTAGCATAATTAAACACCAACTCCACATTAATTTTAGTGACCTCCGATTGGCGTAATTGGTGTCATTACCGCCGATGTGGATAACAATCTTACTATATTTACGTTTATCTTTAGCCAGCAGTTTTAAATACGATTCACTGTCGCCCGCTCTGGCCCCAGGGATACATTTAACTATGGCCGCTGGCTTCGCTAACTTCACGTTTCTGACTATGGAGCTGCCAATAACCAGAGTTGGTTCCTCAGCGGGTGCGTCGCTGAGTGGGGAAAATGTATTATAACGTGAATGGGTTGGTGGTGAACTGTGGGCTTCGGCGTTTTAGTCTTCCTTCGCTCAGTCACAGAAAAATCTGTAATGAATGTGTATGTGTCCAGCAAGGAGACTGAACATTTATTTAATTTCTTTCAACAGACACTATTCTAAACATGGAATAAATAACTTTCCAACAATCCTGATACTTTCATCCCAGTGATGAGGCGCAGCTCTCGTACAGAGTTTGGTGTTTTTGTTTTTCTGCAACTATCCAACTAATGAAAAGTGCATCAATTAAGAATCTTCACATTAAATAATTATTAAGTTGACTATTAGGGGGCAACCTTTCCAGTGACTCTACATTTTATGAGAGGAATACTATGTAGAGGAATTTGTTTTTTATGTTTCCTCAGGCTGACCCGAGCCTGCAAGCCTAGTTTCCTTTGCCTTCTCCATTTTTCACGTACAGCAGCCGGTAATCTATGCCATGGGTATTACTTATTGCTAATTTATCATGGTGAAAACGTGTTCTCCACCAAAAGCTGTAACAAAACTAAGTAACAAAATCAAACAAGAAAGAAAAATCAGCTCAAGACACGTCAGCTGTCCCTGGTGCCATCTTCTCATATTTTCATTTTATGGACTGGATTGTGTGAGCCTGAATTTACATACATGGTTGTGATTGGACTTGATGACAAATCTCCCCTTTTCTCTCAGTAGTTTTTAGGGTTTTCTTTTTTTTGTCATTGATTATAATACCCAAAGTCAAAATCTATATTTAAGCTATGATATGACTAATGACATATCATAGCTTACACACACAACTAATCAAATTAGCCCTGTTTTCTGGAGTACATAGTGACCAGTCTATACTGAGGTAAAAGTGAATGAAAGCAAAAAGCTTTCTTACTAAAGGTTATGTCTTCCTTGTCCTCTCTAAGTGTAGCAAGGACCTGTGCAGTTGGATGGCATCATATAAATATCCTTCATCCATATTTACTCAGTGATACATTCTTTTCTACATCGTCAGCTCCCTCCTTCCCTTTTCACCCACCCCCACCACTTCAAAAATTCATGTTATGAAACTGGATTCCCAGAGCAGCCTGCTCCTCTCAGCTCAATCTCTGTCATAGTTACAGCTCCTGTATTGCTGTTTCATTCATTCATTCACTCCCTGTGTGTACACTATTGTGTTAAGGTATGTTATATCTTTTCCTATCTCTAGTTTGTCCTTTTTTCTCCCCACCTTGCCTCATTTGAGCTGTGATGTAATGCTTGGTGGTGGATCATATGGGAACTTCCAGCACTCAAGCATAGGAACTGAGCTTGGCTAATTGAAAATTGACTGTTGAGCTTAGGTAGTCTTTGTCTCACTTCGTTTTTATGGTTATATTATATCCATTAACAAAACAGGACATGAGGCAAAGACTTAATAACCCATTAAAACCAATTTTGCTCATATTACCACTACTGATTTATTTTAACACCAGGAATGAGAATGAGCTTTATGAATTCCATTCAGCAGATTCACAGGCAGGTAAAAAGGCTCAAACATACCGGCAACGAACAGTGCACGTCAAAACAGCTGCACCAGTTATTTTCTCTGTATAAACCCCACATCGGCAGCACAACTAGGCACCGCCCTGTGTCGCTTCTGTCCTATTTCCAGTCTGACATCATAAATTATTTTAAATTAGAATGACAAAAGAGACATTACCTGGCAGCTTGACCTCTACTGTTGAAAAGGTTCAGGTTACATTGCATTAAATGAGAAGACTATGACAGCATGGCTAATGGTTACTGTGCTAGGGTCGGCGCTTGACACGCATCATTTGATGCAATATATTTTGGTCAGTGACAGCAGTTTTAAGATTAAGAAGTCCTTCTTCTTTAGGCAAGAGCTGTCAGTGTTCACATGGCTTAGGAGCACTTGTGAATATTATCACTTTAACGTATCCCTGCTGTCTGTCATCTTTACTGCAGCACACACAGACTCACACATAATCCTACTTGTCTATTTTTTAGCACCACAGCTCACATTTTCACTGCTTCTGCTCTCTAATTGGCTTTTATAAAATTATGATACTATAATCTTTAGCATAATTATTGATACATTAAGATATTTTAAACTCCAAGGTATTGATATATTATCGATCTAAAAAATCTAAAAATCCAGCATCATTTTAGCTCTAGTATGAAGCTAAAGATGTTATATGTTATGTATAAATGTAAGTATATAAAGGTTATAAAAATTTTAGCATAGGGACTTACTGAAACTTTCTGTGGAAATTTGAGCCACGAAAGGGAATGCAACCACAACTTGAGGCATCAGCATCCAGAGAACATCCAGGCTCAACAGACAAATTAGTAAAAATTACCAAGATAATGGGCTTTCTTGTTTCTTTGTCTTATATTAAATAAAATTTTAATCTTTTACAGATAATAAGGATCCACAAAATCTCATGGATGGAAATCAGATTGACTGAAACTGTTGTGGATAAATATATGCACAGATATGACTGTGATATTCTCCAATCACTGGAGATATTCACAGTCCTAATCTTTCTCTCTCATCTCCCTTCTATCTTCTTGTCTTTTCAGGTGGTGATGTCCAGTGAGAATTAACTGCCAGCTGGAGGAGAATCTCTGAGACTCCACCCTGCAATCAACAGCTGGCTACACAGGACCAATCCTTTCAAACACAAGCTGTACCTCACAGACTTTTAATCAGTCCTGAGCAGCGTAGTTAACAAGCTAACAGCACAGCACCCTGGTCTTAACACATAAAGAGAGAATGTCCATCCATCTGATGATTCCCAAATAATGTGATGCTACTCAAACAGACACTTTAATGAACAGATGCTTTTGTTGATTTGACTGAGCGTTCACACACACATCTATGAGTGTTTTTGTGTCTATTTTTTTCCCAAACCAATGAAATTCACTACTTAAGTCTTCCGGTGTAAAGACATGAGCTGTAATTGCAGCTGGATGATAACATTTTTATTCTTCATTGGTTCCCCTCAAAAATGCAGCAATGCGTTTCCTGTTAATCCAAATCCAGTTCTCATTTCAGGTTGCACTTAACACACTCACTATATTTAATAATATTACTACAATATCTGCACCAAGATTTTGAAAGAGAATTTGAACTGCCATATCTTTACTGTATACATGAAGAAAAGTGTCTCATTTTTCTATTGGTTTACATTTACTGATGGATAAGTACAGCAGTGTACTACTATGTGTAGTGTGTAACCATCAGTGTTATTAGGAACCATTCATTTTGAATGTGGGACTTGTGGGCGGCTGTGGCTCAGAGGCAGAGCGGGTCGTTCCTTAATCGGAAGGTTGTGGGTTCGATCCCCGGTTCCTGGTGCCAAACGTCGAAGTATCCTTGAGCAAGATACTGAACCCCAAATTGTTCCCGATGCCATCACATCGGTGTGTGAGTGGAGTGTGTATGATTGTTAGTTTCTGTTCGATGGACATTGCCATCACTGTGTGAAAGGGTGAATGTGGCACGTAGTGTAAAAGCGCTTTGAGTGGTCAGAAGACTAGAAAGGCGCTATACAAGTACAGGTCCATTTACCATTTACTTGTAAGTCAAAGACTGAGGAATACTAAATGGTAGGTTTGAGCGAGTAGTCAAACTGAAGTATTTGGCACAGATAATGTACTTTTTAGGTGTCATCCAACTAAATTGTTTCAATCTGTCCATAATATATAAACTATTATAAAAAAAACTTTCTGTAAATATTTATTTTACTGATTGAAAACATTGCTCAGTTCAGTTTGTGTAATTCTGTAAACTTGTTCAACTGATTAATCTGATCAACAGTTGAGGCTTAATTGAACAACTTCCTCTTAAGCCTTCCGGTTTAGGCACCAGCACCAGCACCACCCATTTCGAGTACAGATACAAATATGGGCAATTTAGTTGGTTGAAAAGACACAGATAACGGTGTACTTGCTCATCCCTACTGAATGGTATTTGTAGTTTCAGGTTTTATTTGCCTTGTTTGTCATGTCAGAGGCTCTAATGTTGCATCATCAATTCACACATAAACAGCTGCAGCTTGAAAAACAAAAACAAGGTAAATGTTATTACTAAGCATGAATACAAATTTGTGGTCATTCGGTTATTTTGAACAAAAAGTGATCCATTACTCATCCAATCCAGTACTCATTACTCTGCTTGATGAAAGTCATGAATCATAAGTTGAAAGATAACAGGACCTCCAGTTTGACCTGTCTCACACAAAGGAAAAATATTGGAGGTGTGAAGGTTTGTTCATTATTATTCATAAGAATATATGCTAGTTTGCGGTGGCATGATAGGTCTAATGACCTGTGGTAACTTTTAAGTGTTTTTTCTCTGTCAGCTCAAGTGCCAATATAGACACTATTTGATCCTTTGATTCTTTGTGAAAACATACTCAGAATAGTGTCAACATGTCTTTTAACTCAAATGGTAAAAAGGGTTGCACTCATATAGTGCTTTTCTAGTCCTTCAACCACTCAACTGCTTGTCACATTCACTTATTCACACATCAATACACTGATGGCAGCTCAGTGTCATGCAAGGTGCAACTGCTCATAAGAAAGAATTCCATTCACACAGCAGTGGCAATTTGGGGTTCAGCCTGGATGTTGAAGGACACTTCAATAGGCAAAGGAAGGAGCCAGGGACCAAACTGCAAACCTTCTTATTACTAAAAATCCTGCTCTGCCTCCTGAGCCACAGGAAGGTTGTCCTTTTGGGTTATGAGGTTAGATCCAATATAGGTCCAAATATGTCCAAATCTCAGATGCATTAACAGATTTCTGCTGGTGCACAGTGGAGCTCATTAGACATGCCCAAAAACTTTTAAATGACTGTACTTCGTTCTTACTTTTGCCTTTCCTGAGTGCCAGTGCAATTGTTGAGAGACCTTTGCTGAGCTTTAAAAAAAATGTGCCCTAATACATTTACACAATGTAAAAACATTAGGAAACACCTTTGGGAGCATGATCTATGGATTTAATTAAAAGGCACGTATAACGATTGAACATCTCAAGTTGCACATGGAACTTAATATGAATACTAGGGTAATGGTACAGGGCTGTTGGTGTCACATCAGTCACAGTGAAGTCTTATTTCCGACGACATGCTATTTGTGATTTTTATTGGACAAATTTGATAAGCACAGAACAGCCTGTACAGTGTGTCCTGCAGAGACCGTCACTGCTGTTTGTAAAATCTCTTTTTTTCTGTTACACCTATGCATTTTTTAGATGTATCAATGTTTTCAATAACAGTGGTGTCTTTGAAGTATAAAATATTTTCTACAGGCTGGAGATAACACCAGCTGTCATAATATGGAAAATGGTACAAAATGAATGAAAAAGGTTTCTGCAGGACACAGCTACATTATGGATCATATGTTGTATTTTCTCTATGTTTTTAATGGTGAAAATTAAACATTGAGTCACTTTTTAACTCTGTTCTTGAATATGACGAGGAAGCTGAAACCGTGTCATGCTTCAGATTGTGGAACATGTATTGTGTATGTGTTTTTGTGCCTTTTGCATGCCTTCTGATTGGCTGGCTGAGTGTCAAAGGCCTCCTGATTGGCTGGCTGAGTGTCAAAGGCTACCTGATTGGCAGCCTGTGTGTTATACACCTCCTGATTGGCTGGCTGAGTGTTACACGCTTCCTGATTGGCGAGTGTTACACGCCTCTCATTGGCTGGCTGAGTGTTACATGCCTCTGATTGGCTGGCTGAGTGTTACACGCCTCTTGATTGGCTGGCTGAGTGTTTAACGCCTCCTGATTGGCTGGCTAAGTGTTACACGCCTCCTGAGTAGCTGGCTTAGTGTTACACGCCTGTTGATTGGCTGGCTAAGTGTGACATGCATCCTGATTGGCTGGCTGAGTGTTCACACCTCCTGACGGGCTGGCTGAGTGTGAAAGGCTTCCTGATTGGCGAGTGTTACATGCCTCTGATTGGCTGGCTGAGTGTCATACACCTCCTTATTGGCTGGCTAAGTGTTACACGCCTCCTGAGTAGCTGGCTTAGTGTTACACGCCTGTTAAATGGCAGGCTGAGTGTGACACGCCTCCTGATTGGCTGGCTGAGTGTTGCACGCCTTCTGATTGGCTGGCTGAGTGTGAAAGTCCTCTTGATTGGCTGGCTGAGTGTCAAAGGCCTCCTGATTGGCTGGCTGAGTGTCAAAGGCTACTTGATTGGCAGCCTGTGTGTTATACACCTCCTGATTGGCTGACTGAGTGTTACACGCTTCCTGATTGGCGAGTGTTACACGCCTCTGATTGGCTGGCTGAGTATTACACGCCTCTGATTGGCTGGCTGAGTGTTACACGCCTCTTGATTGGCTGGCTGAGTGTTTAACGCCTCCTGATTGGCTGGCTAAGTGTTACACGCCTCCTGAGTAGCTGGCTTAGTGTTACACGCCTGTTAAATGGCAGGCTGAGTGTGACATGCATCCTGATTGGCTGGTTGAGTGTTCACACCTACTGACTGGCTGGCTGGGAGTCAAAGGCCACCTGATTGGCTGGCTGAGTGTTACATGCATCCTGATTGTATTATTATGTTACACGCCTCCTGATTGGCTGGCTGAGTGTCAAAGGCCTCCTTAGCCAATCAGGAGACGTGAAACACTCAGCCAGATAATTAGGAGGCGTTTAACATTCAGCCAACCAATCAGGTGGCCTTTGACACTCAGCCAGCCGATCAATTCAATTCAATTAAATTTTATTTGTATAGAGCCAATTCATAACAGAGCAGGTCTAGACCGAACTCTTTAAAACATTATTTACAGAGACCCAACAGTACCACCATGAGCAAGCACTAGGCGACAAGGGCAAGGAAAAACTGTCTGTTAAAAGGGAAAAACCTGGGACAGATCCTTTGGCTCTAGGTGGGTGGTCGTCTGCCTCGAGCAGTTGGGGTGAGAGAGAGAGAGACAGAGAGAGAGACAGAGAGAGAGACAGACAGACAAACAGACAGACGGACAGACAGGTGCACAGCAACAACAGTATTGGCAATGGCAATCTAGCATGTAACACTCAGCATGCCAATCAAGGGGCGCAGAACACTCAGCCAGCCAATCAGGAGGCATGTCAATTAAGATACCTTTGACACTCAGAAAAGCTAATCAGGAGACATGTAACACTCAGCCAGCGAATCAGGAGGCGTGAAACACTAAGCCAACCAATCAGGAAACATGTAACACTCAGCCAGCAAATCAGAAGGCATGTAACACTCAGCCAGCCAATCAGGAGACCTTTGACACTCAGCCAGCCAATCAGGAGACATGTTACACTCAGGCAGCGAATCAGGAGGCCTCTGACACTCAGCCAGAAAATCAAGAGGCCTGTAACACTCAGCCAGCCAATCATGAGTCGTGACATATTGAGCCAGCAAATCAGGAGACATGTTACACTCACCCAGGGAATAAGGAGGCCTTTGACACTCAGCCAGCAAATCAGGAGGCATGTAACACTTAGCCAGCCAATCAAGAGGCATGTAACACTCAGCCAGCCTGTCAGTGAGCGTGTAACACTCAGCCAGCCAATCAGGAGGCAAGTAACACTCAGCCTCCTGTAACACTCAGTCAGCCAATCAGGAGCTGTGTAACATTCAGTCAGCCAATCAGGAAGCATGTTACACTCAGCCAGGGAATCAGGAGGCCTTTGACTCCCAGCCAGCCAATCAGGAGCCGTGTAACACTCAGCCAGCCAATCAGGAGGCATGTTACACTCAGCCAGTGAATCAGGATGACTTTGACACTCAGCCTGCAAATCAGGAGCCATGTAACACTCAGCCAATCAGGAGGTGTGTAACACTTGCGCAGCCAATCAGGAGGTGTGTAACACACAGCCAGCCAATCAGGACGCGTTTAACACTTAGGCAGCCAATCGGGAGGCCTTTGACATTTAGCCAGCCAATCAAGAGGCGTTTAACACTCAGCCAGCCAATCAGGAGGCGTGTAACACTCAGCCAGCCAATCAGGAGGCGTTTCACACTCAGGTAGCCAATCAGGAGTTGTGTAACACTCAGCCAGCCAATCAGGAGGCGTGTAACACTCAGCCAGCCAATCAGGAGGCGTGTAACACTCAGACAGCCAATCAGGGGGCGTGTAACACTCAGGCAGCCAATTAGGAGGGGTGTAACACTCAGGTAGCCAATCAGTAAGCCTTTGACTCTCAGCCAGCCAATCAGAACGTGTGTAACACACAGCCAGCCAATCAGGAGGCCTTTGACATTCAGCCAGCCAATCAGGAGCCGTTTAACACTCAGCCAGCCAATCAGGAGGCGTATAACACTCAGCCAGCCAATCAGGAGGTGTGTAATACTCAGCCAGCCAATTAGGAGGCGTGTAACACTCAGGCACCCAATAAGGAGGCGTGTCACACTCAGACAGCAAATCAGGGGGCATGTAACACTCAGGCAGCCAATCAGGAGGCGTGTAACACTTGCGCAGCCAATCAGGAGGCGTGTAACACACAGCCAGCCAATCAGGAGCCGTTTAACACTCAACCAGCCAATCAGGAGGCGTGTAACACTCAACCAGCCAATCAGGAGACATGTAACACTCAGTCAGCCAATAAGGAGACGTGTCACACTCAGACAGCCAATTAGGACGGGTGTAAAACACAGCCAGCCAATCAGGAGGCCTCTGACATTCAGCCAGCAAATCAGGAGCCGTTTAACACTCAGCCAGCCAATCAGGAGGCGTGTAACAGTCAGCCAGCCAATCAGGAGGCGTGTAACACTCAGGTAGCCAATCAGGAGTCGTGTAACACTCAGCCAGCCAATCAGGAGGCGTGTAACGCTCAGCCAGCCTATCAGGAGGCGTGTAACACTCAGACAGCAAATCAGGGGGCATATAACACTTAGCCAGCCAATCAGGGGGCGTGTAACACTCAGCTTGCCAATAAGGAGGCGCATCACACTCAGCCAGCCAATCAGGAGGTCTTTGACATTCAGCCAGCCAATAAGGAGACGTGGCACACTCAGACAGCCAATCATGGGACATGTAACACTCAACCAGCCAATCAGGAGGCGTTTCACACTCAGGCAGCCAATTAGGAGGCATGTAACACTCAGGAAGCCAATAAGGAGGCGTGTCACACTCAGGCAGCAAATTAGGACGGTTGTAACACACAGCCAGCCAATCAGGAGGCCTTTGACATTCAGCCAGCCAATCAGGAGCCGTTTAACACTCAGGCAGCAAATTAGGACGGTTGTAACACACAGCCAGCCAATCAGGAGGCCTTTGACATTCAGCCAGCCAATCAGGAGCCGTTTAACACTCAGCCAGCCAATCAGGAGGCGTGTAACACTCAGCCAGCCAATCAGGAGGCGTGTAACACACAGCCAGCCAATCAGGAGGCCTTTGACATTCAGCCAGCCAATCAGGAGCAGTTTAACACTCAGCCAGCCAATCAGGAGGCGTGTAACACTCAGCCAGCCAATCAGGAGGCGTGTAACACTTGCGCAGCCAATCAGGAGGCGTGTAACACACAGCAAGCCAATCAGTAGGCCTTTGACATTCAGCCAGCCAATCAGGAGCCGTTTAACACTCAGCCAGCCAATCAGGAGGCGTGTCACACTCAGCCAGCCAATCAGGAGGCATGTAACACTCAGCCGGCCAATAAGGAGGCGTGTCACACTCAGCCAGCCAATCAGGAGGTGTGTAACACTTGCGCAGCCAATCAGGAGGCGTGTAACACACAGCCAGCCAATAAAGAGGCGTGTCACACTCAGCCAGCCAATCAGGAGGTGTGTAACACTTGCGCAGCCAATCAGGAGGTGTGTAACACACAGCCAGCAAATCAGGACGCGTTTAACACTCAGGCAGCCAATCAGGAGGCCTTTGACATTCAGCCAGCCAATCAGGAGCCGTTTAACACTCAGCCAGCCAATCAGGAGGCGTGTAACACTCAGCCAGCCAATCAGGAGGCGTTTCACACTCAGGTAGCAAATCAGGAGTTGTGTAACACTCAGCCAGCCAATCAGGAGGCGTGTAACACTCAGCCAGCCAATTAGGAGGCGTGTAACACTCAGGCAGCCAATAAGGAGCCGTTTCACACTCAGGCAGCCAATTAGGAGGGGTGTAACACTCAGGTAGCCAATCAGTAACCCTTTGACTCTCAGCCAGCCAATCAGAACGTGTGTAACACACAGCCAGCCAATCAGGAAGCCTTTGACATTCAGCCAGCCAATCAGGAGCCGTTTAACACTCAGCCAGCCAATCAGGAGGCGTGTAACACTCAGCCAGCCAATCAGGAGAGGTGTGTAATACTCAGCCAGCCAATTAGGAGGCGTGTAACACTCAGTCAGCCAATAAGGAGACGTGTCACACTCAGACAGCCAATCAGGGGGCATGTAACACTCAACCAGCCAATTAGGAGGCGTGTAACACTCAGGCAGCCAATAAGCAGGCGTGTCACACTAAGGCAGCCAATTAGGACGG